TATATTAAAATTATAATTATTTATTTGGACTTAGTAGAGAAATTTGGATCGTTATTGTTTTCACTAATTATTGAATTATTGAAGTAGATTAATAAGTTAACGTAATATCAAGCGTTTAAGTAATTAATGAATAAAATCAGATTAAGTTGATGACGATTAATTAATTTTAAATAATTATATAATATTCGGATTGATCAATATAATTAGGAAATATGAATAGTTTATTTAAATATAATTCAGATATGTTTTAATAATATTGAAATGCAGTTAATTATTTGAATGTTTTTTTAAAAAATCGGATGTTGTAGTTAATTATATTTGGATATTTTATTAGAATTCAAAAATCGTAATTAATGACTGAATTAATAAGGTAATTTGATTCATAAAATGCGATTAACTCGAATAATTAATAAATATACTTAACTAAATTTGGTGAATGAGTTAAACTGATATTTTATATACTTAATTAAATAAATGAGTATATTTAAAAATGATTAAGGTCTGATCTATTAATAAAATTAAGTTAGTTAATTTCGTAATTAAAGATTAGATTTTTCGTAATTAATTAATTAATTGGAACTAATTAGTGATAATAATTAAATAATGGATTTTTCTTACATTTAATGAAATTAGTAAACTAATTTCGACTAAGATAAATAAATTAGTTACAGAATTGAAATTTGAATTAATCAGTTACTTTAATTAATTAAGTTTTAGCAGACTATTTTCGGATAAATAAAATAATTAGAAATTATTAGTATGTATAGCCGAAAATTAAATAGTAGTAGAAGTATAAATAAATTAAGTAGAAAATTTTATTAAAGACTTAAATTATATAGTTGAATTATATAGTCAATTAGTGCTAACTATTTTGAATAAGAGTAATAAACCGTATTAATTAAATTCAACAATGGAGTAGTTATTAATTTTCGCACATTGATAATATTAAAGGAGAGATTGGCGAATTCGTTGAAGACATGAACTAGATTTCGAGTAGAGTTAGAGCAAAAGCGTGACTTTGAAGTAAGTTTCTCTGCCGATCCAAAATTGTTTCCTCGTATTATATGCTTATTATGCATTATGTGATTAAGTGTGAATTGTGAATTATGAGTATGTGATTTTGAGGAATACAAATTTAGAGTACTTTTTTGGGGTATTAAATATTTTTAAATACCTTTGAGACTAAATAGGGAGATTGAGAAGTATTTTTGAAGTATATTTTAATTCAAGATAAAAATAAAGATTTTATAAGAGGTGAGCACCGCGGGAGAAATCCGCGGTGTCAGTTTTCCACATCCGGATAAATGTGGAGGGTGATTAGGGCTGCTACTACTAAGATGTACAGTTTAAGTTTTAAGTGACATTTGGATCTATGATCCCTTTTAAAGAAGAAGTTATAGTAGTAGTCCCTAATCATTCAAGAATTTTAAAAGGTGGGGTGGTTGGTAGACTGAGTCCCGACTACCCGAGATGACTTACTACTCGGAGGGCTTGGAATCCCTTTTAGGGGGTGTGCACACTTAAGGTAGTCGTTTCGTTTCTACAAGAGCAGTTGTGGTACCGGCACTTGTTCGGGGTGGCTGTTCGTAACCACGGTTCACCGGGCTCAGTCGAAAGGTTGAGCACCGCCCTTCTAAATTACTAGGAAGTTAGAGAAGAAGTGATTTTTGAGATAATCAACGAAGAAGAGAATTTTTATGGAGTGTGTTACTTTTATATAGTATTATATAAAAATCTATTTTTGCCAAACCTGATTATTTTACGGGGTTGGGTAGTACTTACTTAGCTCTAAAGCTAATTTTTGTTTTCTTTCTTTGTTTTGTTTCTGCACGATATTTGTGCAGGTGATGATGGTTATGTTGACTGCTGAATGCATGCGCCTGAGAGCGAGTTAGAAGTTGCCTTAGTTAAATTTAGTCTTGTAATAAACATTTATTTATTTAGTTTTATTGTTTTGTTTTAGTTGCCTGTGCATCCGGTTGAGAGATGACTGGATGTGGCGGTAACACCCATTTCCCTATTTAGACTTTCGTTGTACTCTTTAAATTTTATTATCAATAAATAAAAGTTTTATTTCAATCATATCATTGTTTTTGGGCGGGAAATTTGGGGGTGTTACAGGGCCACACCTCCCCTTTTCCTTCTTTTGCGCCCATCTGCCCACTTCCTTTTTTTTATATTTCTTTTTCATTTACTTTTTGGCTGTCCAAATTCGTTCAAATTTAACCTCTTCCCTTCCCAAACCCATTTTTAATACACTCTTCCATCAACCAATGCATCAAATTAGGAGTCCAAAAATGCCGTTTTTAACATTTTGGACTCCTAATACCCCACCACTGCAAATGGTCTAATGGTTTTGTTGATTTGGGAATGCCTCATTGCCCTCTATATAAAACAATGTTGTTATCCTTCAATAAATTTTACTTTCTATATAAAAAATGGGATGCTTAGTTAATTCTATTGTCTACGAGAAGCGTTCACTCATGTTTCTTTTTGTTTTCTATTATATTGTTGCACCATGTTTTTTTGTTGCATCATGTTTCTTTTTTACTTTTATCACATTGTTGTATCATTTTGCTTTTGGTTGCATCATGTTGTTTCTATTGTGGTATGTTGTTAAAATTGATTATTTTATTTATGGCCTTATTTTATGAATCTTACTAAATAAAGATTGAAAGACAAAAAGTGATCACATAAATAAAATTCCAAAAATATGACTAATATGCGGTGACTTGCAATTTTAGTGTCTGGAATTAGACTGCCAAATAGCGACCACTCATGCAGTGACTGCCCCCGCCACCCTCAATTAGTGATTGTCGTCACCGCCCGATTACTCGATTAGTGATTGCCGCTGCCGTCCTGTCCGGTGACCGTCACCGCCCCCCCCCCCCCCCCATTTGGTGACTGTCGCCGCCACCCCGCCCCGGCCAGTGACTGTTGCCGCCACCCCCGGCCAGTGACTACTGCCGCCTCGGGCCCGTGACTATCGCCGCCCCGGGCCACTGACTCTTGCCGCCCTCAACCAGTGACTGCCGCCGCCCCCCGGACACTGACTGTCGCCGCCACAGTGACACTCCGATGTATTGACTCCGCCACGGTGACACCAGCACCGGCGACACAATGACCGTCCAGCCGCCACCCCCAACCCCCATTCTCATCACCTCCTCCCTGCCGGGCCACAACTTCTTCCTCACCCCGCACCCAGCCTCGCACAACTGACAACCCCCAATAGCAGAACCGCCGTTTGTAACTGTCACCACCGTAACAGTGACCCTACCAGCCCCATCACATCCCGCCCCAGTCCTGCACAACTGGTACCCAACACCCTGTCTCCGACCCCTGTCATTGAACTACCTCCATGCCCCCTTTGTCTAGGCGAAACCAAGACACACCACAGTCACATAAAACCTTAGGTTTGACATTGCCAGATTTAAAAACCAAGCGCATAAACACTAGCCTACGAGACGCTCACCACATATCTGGAAATGAGGATGGATACAACAATCTCGTTCTACCATGGCCGTCCATCTGGTCACCGCTTCATTGATCATACATAGATTAAAGAAGGAAAAGCGCGTCGACGTAAAGCATGTGGAGGAAGCGGCGTGCGATGATGGCCGAAGCGGCAAACAGAAGACGGAGCCGGCGGCCTGAAGGCAATGGTTCTGCAATGGACGATTTTGTGAAATGGTGAGAGGGGAGCCTGATGGCAGACCGAGAGAGGAATAATAAATGTCCGAATCTGTCGAGAGAGAGAAGGAGGAGAGAGGGTTAGGCATGACACTTTTTTGTCATGTTTTTGTCCGATCAAATCTTATAGGTAATATTTTTGCCATTTTTCATTTATTCAAATTGGTTTATATATATCTTTGTTGTCTCTTTGGAATAATAAATCGTAGATAGATCTATATACAAACATGTAAAAAGATAAATTTTAATTTAGGAATATAAACATTAAGAAGCAATAGAAAACAAAAAATCCAAAGTTAGAAACAAAAATAAACATCATGCAACAAAGAGTAATAACGAAATGATGATAATGATTAATTTATTTAATTTAAAAAAAACAGCTTAATTCGTTTTTTTTTTCAATATTTACATGACACTTTTTTAATTAGTTTTTTCACTTTTCTACTTTTTGAGTTTTTATATCTTACACGCTTTTTAGTTACATTAATTTCCCTATTATCTAAAATTCGTAAATTATATTTTCATTTTTTTGTAAAATTTACTATGAACATTTTTTTCAAATATTTATATTTATTTTATTTTATACTAGTATTTTTTAACCCTGTATAAATTCCGACTTTACATCATTTTACTCTTTTACACAAAATAACTGTTACTTTTTATATATTTATAATAGTTTAAATAATTCTTTATCCTGTTTTTCATATGTTTTTTTATAATTTTAGGTGTTCGTATTTTTACTGTTTTCATATTTTGGTTCAAATGAGAACGAGTCTTAATGTGAGAACGTGAGAACACATCTCAACCATCCAATACATATGCAGATCTGCGATCAACTAAAAATAAGTAAAGGGTATTTTAGTATTCTAATGATTGACAGTTTCTCTAACCGATCGTGTCATTAATGGAAACATTCCATATCCAATTAAATATTGTATTTATTTCTCACGTGAATTGCTTAGTCCATTTATAAAATTTGTGCATGTATGGTTAGTGGGGCATTTTATTTTAAAATCAAACCTTTTCACCATCATTCACCTGCACATGGTTAACCCTACACAACAAAGTGCACCAACTATTTAAGAATTACTCAATTGATCACTAATATTTTTTGTGCGGTAAATACTAATTCTTGTGCATATTATATAAAGTTGGATTAATTTATAATAAATACTGATAGTTGTGCATTAGATAATGGTTCTTGTGTGTTCAAGAACTTTAAATATCTTGTGATTTACTTTAAAAAAAAGTTTATGTTGTTGTTGAGTTTAATCCAACACGATATAGTAGATATATGTATAAATGTGTATGAACAAGCTCAGTTTTTACGTGGAAACCCGAAAGGGAGAAAACCACGGGACTTTTTAGGCTAATGTCCAAGCCCTCTCAATTCTCATTAGACTCTCCTCACCATTACATAGTACAAGTATTGAAGCTCCCATTAATGGAGTTCTAAGCTATTCTAGTGAGAAGGAGGAAGAAGAAAAGGATCCTTTTACATGGAGGGAAACCTCCTATTTATAGGGAATAGGGGGAAAGGGGGCTCTCCACCCTAACGGGCCGAATGGGCCAAAATGGGCCCAAAGGCCGAAACAGGCCTGATAGGCTAAAATGGGCCTTACTGATTGGGCTCCGTACTACGTAAAGTCTTGGGCTCCTGAACAGTAATAGGCCGGGATAATATATCCCAACACAAGTCCCCCAGTTTCTTGAGTAGTGAGCGTGCGAATCTGCTCGAGAAAATATACTCTTGCCTACGCTTTACCTCGATCTAGCTGGAACCTGTGTCTTCGAATAATCATAATATATGAGTGGATGTCCACACTCCTGAACGTAATCTGCCGGTGAGGCACATCCGTTCCCGACGGGGTCGGGCGAAGGGTGCTCCTCCACGGGCACGCTCCCCCTGAATGCATCAGGCGAGAGTAAAGGACTCTGACTCGAGCTTTCCAACGGAGAAGCTTAGAGGTCCCTGCATCTATAAACCGACGTCGCGGTACTGTCAAAACATGATGCACGTGTGTATGTATGAGGTATGATGCATGAATGCATGTAATGTATGGGTGCAATGTATGAGAGAGGGAATGCAAGATGTGATAGGAGCGGTAGCTCTCAACGATAACCCGGGCATGTCAGCGCCGAGGGGCAGACGTGCTGCATAAGAGACGTTCGTCGCCATCCTGAAAGGGATGGGCGACCCTAACGTGAGCCAGACACGATGGCGCTGGGGCGCTGATCGTGCGGCATAAGAGACGTTCGTCGCCATCCTGAAAGGGATGGGCGACCCTAACGTGAGCCAGACACGATGGCGCTGGGGCGCTGATCGTGCTGCATAAGAGACGTTCGTCGCCATCCTGAAAGGGATGGGCGACCCTAACGTGAGCCAGACACGACGGCGCTGGGGCGCTGATCGTGCTGCATAAGAGACGTTCGTCGCCATCCTGAAAGGGATGGGCGACCCTAACGTGAGCCAGACACGATGGCGCTGGGGCGCTGATCGTGCTGCATAAGAGACGTTCGTCGCCCTCCTGAAAGGGATGGGCGACCCTAACGTGAGCCAGACACGATGGCGCTGGGGCGCTGATCGTGCTGCATAAGAGACGTTCGTCGCCATCCTGAAAGGGATGGGCGACCCTAACGTGAGCCAGACACGATGGCGCTGGGGCGCTGATCGTGCTGCATAAGAGACGTTCGTTGCCATCCTGAAAGGGATGGGCGACCCTAACGTGAGCTAGATACGATGGCGCTGAAGCGCTGATCGTGCTGCATAAGAGACGTTCGTCGCCATCCTGAAAGGGATGGGCGAACCTAACGTGAAATCGACACAATGGCACGACGGGGCCAATTGTGCTGCATAAGATATCCGTCCCCATCCTGGAGGAGATGGGCGACCCGGAGATGAACTAGACATGATGGCACTGAGGGGTCAATCATGCTGCATGAGAGACGTTCGTCGCCATCCTGGAAGGGAATGGGCGAACCGAACCGTGAATCCGGACACGATGGCGCTGAGGGGCCGATCGTGATGCATAAGACGTTCGTCGCCACCCTGGAAGGGATGGACGAGCTGAACGTGAGCCAGGTACGATGGCGCTGAGGAGCCGATCGCACTGCATAAGACGTTCGTCGCCATCCTGGAGGGAATGGGGCGATCCGAACGTGAAAGAGACACGATGGCGCTGAGAAGCCGATCGTGCTGCACAAGACGGTCGTCGCCATCCTGGAGGGAATGGGCGAGCCGAACCGTGAGCCAGGTACGATGGCGCTGAGGGGCCGATCGTACTGCATAAGACGTTCGTCGCCATCCTGGAGGGAATGGGCGAGCCGAACCGTGAAGCCAGGTACGATGGCGCTGAGGGGCCGATCGCACTGCATAAGACGTCCGTCGCCATCCTGGAGGGAATGGGGCGATCCGAACGTGAGACACGATGGCGCTGAGAAGCCGATCGTGCTGCACAAGACGGTCGTCGCCATCCTGGAGGGAATGGGCGAGCCGAACCGTGAAGCCAGGTACGATGGCGCTGAGGGGCCGATCGTACTGCATAAGACGTCCGTCGCCATCCTGGAGGGAATGGGGCGATCCGGACGTGAAAGAGACACGATGGCGCTGAGAAGCCGATCGTGCTGCACAAGACGGTCGTCGCCATCCTGGAGGGAAATGGGCGAGCCGAACCGTGAGCCAGGTACGATGGCGCTGAGGGACCGATCGCACTGCATAAGACGTTCGTCGCCATCCTGGAGGGAATGGGGCGATCCGAACGTGAAAGAGACACGATGGCGCTGAGAAGCCGATCGTGCTGCACAAGACGGTCGTCGCCATCCTGGAGGGAAATGGGCGAGCCGAACCGTGAGCCAGGTACGATGGCGCTGAGGGGCCGATCGTACTGCATAAGACGTTCGTCGCCATCCTGGAGGGAATGGGCAAGACGAACCGTGAGTCTGGACACGATGGCGCTGAGGGACCGATCGTGATGCATAAGACGTTCGTCGCCACCCTGGAAGGGATGGACGAGCTGAACGTGAGCTGGGTACGATGGCGCTGAGGGGCCGATCGTACTGCATAAGACGGTCGTCGCCATCCTGGAGGGAATGGGCAAGACGAACCGTGAGTCTGGACACGATGGCGCTGAGGGGCCGATCGTGATGCATAAGACGTTCGTCGCCACCCTGGAAGGGATGGACGAGCTGAACGTGAGCTGGGTACGATGGCGCTGAGGGGCCGATCGTACTGCATAAGACGGTCATCGCCATCCTGGAGGGAATGGGCGAGCCGAACCGTGAATCTGGACACGATGGCGCTGAGGGGGCCGATCGTGATGCATAAGACGTTCGTCGCCATCCTGGAAGGGATGGACGAGCTGAACGTGAGCTGGGTACGATGGCGCTGAGGGGCCGATCGTACTGCATAAGACGGTCGTCGCCATCCTGGAGGGAATGGGCGAGCCGAACCGTGAATCTGGACACGATGGCGCTGAGGGGGCCGATCGTGATGCATAAGACGTTCGTCGCCATCCTGGAAGGGATGGACGAGCTGAACGTGAGCTGGGTACGATGGCGCTGAGGGGCCGATCGTACTGCATAAGACGGTCGTCGCCATCCTGGAGGGAATGGGCGAGCCGAACCGTGAATCTGGACACGATGGCGCTGAGGGGCCGATCGTGATGCATAAGACGTTCGTCGCCATCCTGGAAGGGATGGACGAGCTGAACGTGAGCTGGGTACGATGGCGCTGAGGGGCCGATCGTACTGCATAAGACGGTCGTCGCCATCCTGGAGGGAATGGGCGAGCCGTACCGTGAATCTGGACACGATGGCGCTGAGGGGCCGATCGTGATACAGAAAAATAGTGATGATCATCTCATGGCCCTCGGCCTGTCGGTGAGTGGTAATCGTCTCACGGCCCTCGGCCGTGCTGGTGATGTGTCAAGTCTCTCTCCTGATTGGCTGTGAGAAGCCGATCGTCTGCCAGGACTCCATCCGGGAAGGAATGGTGAGCCTGAAATAAATCTGGGCGATGTCCCTTCTACCTGATCTGGGGAGCTAATCGTCGTTCGAGGCAAAAGAAAACCTGATGTTAGCCGATCGTCGTCGGCCACTTCATTCTTCGTACTTAAGTCTTGTAATTATTCTTTACATATGTTTTTCAGTTTGTACTTCCCGGCCAATAGCGCCGAGGGATAAAATCATTCTTTGCTCCGTGCTCTTCTGGCATCTTTCTTTCTCTCTTTTTTTTTTTTTTTTTTTTTTTTTTTTTTTTTTTTTTTTGGAGTCTTTTAGTCTTCGTTCGTCCTTGGTCCCTGGTCCCACCGGCGTCCCTACTTCGAGGAGACGTTCGGTGTCCGCCGACATCGCAAGGAGGAACAGGTTTATCTGCATCGAGATTCCCCCCTTTTTTCGTTCGTCCGTGGTCCTTTTAGCCTTACCGACGTCTCTTGCTTCGAAGAGGACGTTCGATACCCAAGGACTCGCAGGGACGAACTGGTCTACCCTCACGGGTTCCCGTCTTTGTTATCCCACGTCCATCGATCCATGGTCATTTGTGGGATAAACAGGTTTATCTTGGCAAGGCTCCCTTGGTTCGTCTAGCCCCCTCCGCGTCTCTACTAACCTCTACATCGAGGGGCGTTCGTCTTCGGCGGTGGGAGAAGATCTGGCACGCCCGGGCAAGATTCCCTTCCACATAGGAGCTACCCTCCTCTTCTCCCCATCTTTTTTTTTTTTTTTTTTTTTTTTGTTTTTTTTTTTTTTTTTTTTTTTTTGTTTGAGGGAGGCAATCTATATTCTTCGTTCGTCATTGGTCCCTGGTCCTACCGGCGTTCCTACTTCGAGGAGACGTCTGGTATCCGCCGACATCTCAATGAGGAACAGGTTTATCTGCATCGAGATTCCCTGGTGCTTCGTTCGTCCTTGGTCCCTGGTCCCACCGGCGTCCCTACTTCGAGGAGACGTTCGGTGTCCGCCGACATCGCAAGGATGAACAGGTTTATCTACATCGAGATTCCCTGGTGCTTCGTTCGTCCTTGGTCCCTGGTCCTACCGGCGTCCCTACTTCGAGGAGACGTTCGGTGTCCGCCGACATCGCAAGGATGAACAGGTTGTCACACATAATGGTGGTGCGATAGCGAACGAATATAATGACGAGGCGATAGAATAGCTGATCGTCATGCGAAGGCCCTGGCCACCCTCCTGGAGGGGAGTCGTGAGCCCGATCGCAAACTCAAGAGGGTCGGCATTGGGAGCCGACAAACAATGATCATAATGCCGCTGAGCAGTCGGTCCTGATAAGGAGATGACAATAGTGTCCGATCAGGCCGATATATCCACGCAACGGCTCTCATCCACGCAGCGCGGGGATGAAACCGGTCTTCAAAAGATAATATGTCGTGCCGAGAGGCCGAACATAACATGATAGTGTCGGCAGTGAGAGGCCGACCTGAAAGAATCAAACAACGGTCCTCGTCCGCGATGTGGCGGGGACGAGGCCGGTCTTCAAAAGATGAACACGCCGAGCCGAGGGGCCGGTCGTGGTATGATAGTGTCGGCCATGAGATGCCGATCAAGATATGGTCAAGCAACGGCCCTCGTCCGCGAGGTGGCGGGGACGAGGCCGGTCTTCGAATAAGATAATCACGCCGTGTCGAGAGGCCGGTCGTGATATAATGATGTCGGCAATGAGAGGCCGACCTAAAATCAAGCAACGGTCCTCATCCGCGCAGCGCGGGGACGAGGCCGGTCTTCAAAAGATAAACACGCCGTGCCGAGAGGCCGGTCGTGATATAATGATGTCAGCAATGAGAGGCCGACCTAAAATCAAGCAACGGTCCTCATTCGCGCAGCGCGGGGACGAGGCCGGTCTTCAAAAGATAAACACGCCGTGCCGAGAGGCCGGTCGTGATATAATGATGTCGGCAATGAGAGGCCGACCTAAAATCAAGCAACGGTCCTCATCCGCGCAGCGCGGGGACGAGGCCGGTCTTCAAAAGATGATAATCACGCCGTGCCGAGAGGCCGGTCGTGATATGATTGTGTCAGTTGGCCCTCGGCCGCGATGGTCTCCTCTAGGCCTTCGGCCTCTGAATGATGGATGATCGTCTCACGGTTCTTCGCCGTGACAGTTCCCTCTAGACCCTCGGCCTCTAGGTGTTCTTCCTAGGCCATCGGTCTCTGGGGTGGAGATGCTCATCCCACGGTTCTCAACCGTGGTGGTCTCCTCTAGGCCCTCAGCCTCTAGGTGGAGATGTTCGTCTCACGGTCCTCAGCCGTGATGGTCTCCTCTTTAGCTGGCCCTGAACGTCTTCAAGACTCGGGTCCGAGCGTCTTTTAATCATTTTGCTCGAGCGCGTCGAGTGGCTTCAGCTGCGCAATAAGTATGGTAACGGGCCGCACGGCCCGACAATATGTATACACACATAACCATCTGTATGGCTCCCTTTTTAACATCCACGATTACCGGTCTATGGGTCATCGTGACCCTCGGCCCGGCTCATCGTGCGGGGTTAATGGACGTAGCAGCTCGCGGCGGGGCCAATCAGCGGCCCGCCGAACGTCACATAGAGATATTCATCGGTCTGTGAGTTTTCAAACTCAGACCCAAGTTGGTCGCACCGCCCTCGGAAACACGAGGCCGAGCGCTCTGGTGCCCTCGGGGCCCCACAGGCCACGTCTGGCAATAGCCACTTCGCGCCTAATGGCATAGATGGTGTTGGGGTACGATCGTCGATCGGGCACGTAGTGCCGCGCGGACTAATGTGCAACCCTCAAAATAAAATGCGTCGTCGGGGCATCGCCCTTCTGGAGACGCTCGGATCACTTAATCAAGCTGATCGAGAGTGGGCCAACGGCCCCACAAACAATTAAACATTTAATAAAATGTTGGCCAAACTAACTATCACTAGAGCTTCGCTCCGCATCATTTAATTCGGGACATTTTTATCCCTAATAAATAATAGAAATATAACAGGCAATAGCAATGATGTTATCCTATCAAAGGCCATTCCGGTATGCTCCGCCCGCTAATTAAAGCCGACCAGGAGCGGGCCGACGGGCCCACAACAACCAGTCATTAGATTTGAATGACGGTAATAACTAATTATCATAAGAGCGTCGCTCGACATTATTTAATTTTGGGAGCTTTTAATCCCTAATAAATAATGGTGATAAAAATACTTCAACAATACTAGTAGAAATACGGAGCATTTTAACTAATAAAAAGCATAAGGAAAAGTACTTAGCTTTCAAGTTAGTGGCTCGCTTGAAATGTACGAAGCACTCCGTAGCAGCTCCCACAAATCAAGTAAGATGGTTGACTTTTCCCAATAAAACACGGTGCTCCACTCGCCCTTACTGTTAACTCCCAGAGTTTGGCTACGTGGTCAGCCTCCATCCAAGTAAAGAGCATCCTTTGGGGAGGCAGATGAACATCCCAACAAGGCCGGGTAGTGCAGGTCGTCCCCTGACTGCTTTTGTCTCCACGGACGTGGACCGCTGGCCACCAAGGAAAGCAGATACAGAGTATCGTATGGCAGATGCAATATTCACCCGCCAACGAAAGGTCAACAGTACGTGCCGGACATTTACTGACGGCGGGGATGGCGGCTATGGCGGAGCGGCGGCGGCGATGGACGTTAGTCTTTGGAGGGGACCGCATGCCTTCAGACCTGTCCCTTCTGAGCTCCAAGCCGCCATTAATGGCGGAAACCAAGGGTTGCTCAACCGCGGATCTTCTGGCTCGCGTCAAAAGACTGGTGGAGGCTCGGAAGGAGACTGACCAGGTGGTGATCTGACGAGCGGTTGGCCGCTGATGACGAGCTGTGGTCCGGCGATTCTGGCGGTGGCCAACTGCGAGCTAGCCATGACCGACTCTGTCGTAGGCGGTGTTTGCTAGAGCCGGATTGGCGGGTCCCACGACGGCGAGCTTCTCCTAGTGCAGTTGAACCCACCGGAGGGCCCACGGCGGCGCGGAAGACGACGGCGGCTCCGGTAACTCCAACCCAGACCTGAGAAAATCCAGATTTGGACTTCTCAGAATCCATAGCTTCTCCTCTCCTCTTCCTGCTAGAATCAGTAGCTTCTTCCTTAATTTTTGTTGTTGAAATCAGTAGTTTTTCTTTCTTTTTTGTTGGAATCAGTCCACTTCGCATGAATCTTTTTTGTAGAAACTCAAGAACAGTAGAACACACGAATCTTTTTGGACAGATTCCCACAGACGGCGCCAGTGTTGAGTTTAATCCAACACGATATAGTAGATGTGTGTATGAACAACTCAGTTTTTACGTGGAAACCCGAAAGGGAGAAAACCACGGGACTTTTTAGGCTAATGTCCAAGCCCTCTCTTTCTCATTAGGACTCTCCTCACCATTACATAGTACAATTTGAGCTCCCATTCATGGAGTATTGAGCTAAGTCTAAAAGAAGAAGGAAGATGGAGCTAAAAGAGGATCCTTTTACATGGAGGGAAACCTCCTATTTATAGGGAATAGGGGGAAAGGGGGCTCTCCACCCTAACGGGCCGAATGGGCCAAAATGGGCCCAAAGGCCGAAACAGGCCCGATAGGCTAAAATGGGCCTTACTGATTGGGCTCCGTACTACGTAAAGTCTTGGGCTCCTGATCAGTAATAGGCCGGGATAATATATCCCAACATGTGTTGGGATATATCATCCCGGCCTATTACTGTTCAGGAGCCCAAGACATTATCCAGTACGGAGCCCGAGCAGCTAGGCCCATTTCGGCCCATTAGGCCCAATATTGGCCCGTTTGGCCCATTAGGGTGGAGAGCACCCTTTCCCCTTTGTCTATAAATAGGGAGCTTAGCCTCCATGTAAAGGATCCCTTTTTCTTCTCCCTCCTTAGTTAGCTTGCAAGACTCCATTAATGGGAGTTCAAATTGTACTATGTAATGGTGAGGAGAGCCTAATGAGAAAGAGAGGGCTTGGACATTAGCCTAAAAAGTCCCGTGGTTTTCTCCCTTTCGGGTTTCCACGTAAAAACTGAGTTGTTCATACACATTTATACATATATTTACTATATCGTGTTGGATTAAACTCAACACTGGCGCCGTCTGTGGGAATCTGTCCAAAAAGATTCATGTTGTTCTTCACTGCTAAGAAAAAGTTCATACTGGAAAGCTACTGACTCTAGCAGGAAGAGGAGAGGAGAAGCTATGGATTCTGAGAAGCCCAGATCTGGATTTTTTCCAGATCTGTTTTGAGGTCGCCGGAGCCGCCGTCGTCCCCGCCGCCATGGACCTTCCGGTGGGTCCAGCTGTACCAGGCGGAGCTCGCTGCCGCGTCCTGGGTCTCGCCGCTCCGTTCCTAGAGGAACACCGCTAGCTGCGAGCAGAGCCATGCCCATCGCAGGGGCACTGTTCACGGCTCGAACTTAGTCCCTCCGCCCGAAACAAGGCACTGTCGCTCGCCGCCGGCTTCCGGCAGGTCACAAGTGGTCACTTTCTGCCTGGCCAGCCGCTACTCGGGCACCCGCATCCCTGCCAACGCGACCTGAAGGTTCTGTTCGTTGAGAGCTCCATGATTTCCACCATTAATGGTGGTTTCGAGCTCAAAAGAGGTATACCCAGTTGTTCGTTCAAGTTTCCGCCGGAGACTAGCTTTTCCGGCCACCCTTGCTCCGCTGCAGCTTCCATCGCAACCGCTAGCAAGCGGTCACCAAACAGACAGCACACCGTTTTGGCCTTGGGATGGTGAGTCGATGCTTCAACAGTTCAACTTGCTGTCCAAAGGATGTGGAATACTGCATATCGTTCGGATGGCTTGGTCCTCATAAAGCCACGTGAGTAGAGGAGGGGTGGTCAAGGGATAAGTTTTGGAGAAGGTTGACTGAGTCAAAATTGCAAAGGGAATCAAACCAATTTCCCTCATGCTAGCTGGCCGAACATCTACCCCAAAGCTAAGTACCTACACCTTTAAATTGGTACACTTAATTGCTAATAGTTTAAACTATTAGTATTGCTAGTATTTTTATCACCATTATTTATTAGGGATTAAAACTCCCAAAATTAAATAGTGCGAGCTATGCTCTAAGTGATAATGAGTTTCACCGTCATTTTAATTAATGATGGGTTATTGTGGGCCCGTTGGCCCGCTCCCGATCGGCTTTAATTAGCGAACGGAGCGTATCTGAATGACTCATGGTAGGATAATACTATTATTACTACCCGTACATCACTATTATTTATTAGGGATAAAAATGTCCCGAAATTAAATAATGCAGAGCGGAGCTCTGGTGATGGTTGGTTCATCCAACATTTTATTGAATATTTAAATTCTTGTGGGCCGTTGGCCCACTCTCGATCGGCTTGATTAAGCGATCCGAGCGTCTCCAGAGGGCAATGCCCCGATGACGCATTTTAAATTGAGGGTTACACATTAGTCTGCACGGCACCAAATGCCCCGATCGACGATCGTACCCTAGTACTGCCTGCACCGCTAGGCGAAGTGACTGTGCCAAACGCGGCCTGTGGGGCCCGAGGGCACCGAAGCGCTCCACCTCGTTTTTTCGAGGGCAGTGCGACCAACTTGGGTCTGAGTTTTCAAACTCACAGACTAGTGATTATCTCTGTGTGACGGTCGGCGGGCTGCTAATTGGCCCCGCCGCGAGCTGCTACGTCCATTAACCCCGCACGATGAGCCGGGCCGAGGGTCACGATGACCCATAGGCCGGTAATCGTGGATGTTAAAGAGAACGCCATGCAGATGGTTATGTGTGCATATTTATTGTCGGGCCGTGCGGCCCGTTACCATGCTTATTGCGCAGTTAAAGCCACTCGACGCGCTCGAGCAAAATGATTAAAAGACGCTCGGCCCGAGTCTTGAAGACGTTCAGGGCCAGCTAAAGAGGAGACAATCGCGGTTGAGGACCGTGAGACGAGCATCTCCACCCCAGAGACCGATTGCCTAGGAAGAACACCTAGAGGCCGAGGGTCTAGAGGGGACTGCCACGGCGAAGAACCGTGAGACGATCATCCATCATTCAGAGGCCGAAGGCCTAGAGGAGACCGTTACGGCCGAGGGCCAACTGACACAATCATATCACGACCGGCCTCTCGGCACGGCGTGATTATCATATTTTAAGACCGGCCTCGTCCCCGAGCTGCGTGGAGGAGGACCGTTGCTGGATTTTAGGTCGGCCTCTCATTGCCGACATCATCATATCACGACCGGCCTCTCGGCCTGGCGTGATTATCTTATTTGAAGACCGGCCTCGTCCCCGCACTGCGCGGATGAGGACCGTTGCTTGATTTTAGGTCGGCCTCTCATTGCCGACATCATTATATCACGACCGGCCTCTCGGCACCGCGTGTTTATCTTTTGAAGACCGGCCTTGTCCCCGCACTGCGCGGATGAGGACCGTTGCTTGGATTTCAGATCGGCCTATCATTGCCGACATCATTATATCACGACCGGCCTCTCGGCACGGCGTGTTTATCTTTTGAAGACCGGCCTTGTCCCCGCACTGCGCGGATGAGGACCGTTGCTTGATTTCGGATCGGTCTCCCGTTGCCGACATCATTATATCATGACCGGCCTCTCGGCTCGGCGTGTTTATCTTTTGAAGACCGGCCTCATCCCCGCACTGTGCGGATGAGAGCCGTTGCTGGATTGCAGGTCGGCCCCTCAGTGCCGACACTATCACATCATGTTCGGCCTCTCATCGCCGACATCATTATACCACGACCGGCCTCTCGGCTCGGCGTGCTTATCTTCTGAAGACCGGCCTTGTCCCTGCCCCTCGCGGACGAGGGCCGTTGCTTGATTCTTTCAGGTCGGCCTCTCACTGCCGACACTGTCATATCATGTTCGGCCTCTCGGCACGACATATTTACCTTTTTGAAGACCGGTTTCATCCCCGCGCTGCGTGGATGAGAGCCGTTTGCTCGGATATATCGGCCTGATCGGACATTATTGTCATCTCCTTATCAGGACCAACTGCTCAGCGACATTATGATCATTGTATATCGGCTCCCAATGCCGACCTTCTTGAGTTAGCGATCGGGCTCACCCCTCCCTTCAGGGGGGGTGACCTTCGCCTTCGCATGACGACCAGCATTTCCATCGCCTCGTCATTATATTTGTTCGCCATGCCACCACCATTATGTGTGACATCCCGTGATCCCTGCGAGTTTCTTGGATACCGAATGTCTTCTTCGATGTAGGAAGATCGGTAGGACCACGGACCAGGGACGGACAAAGAAGCACCAGGGAATCTCGATGCAGATAAACCTGTTCCTCCTTGTGATGTCTGCGGATACCGAACGTCTCCTCGAAGTAGGGACGCCGGTAGGACCAAGGACCAAGGACGAACGAAGCACCAGGGAATCTCGATGCAGATAAACCTGTTCCTCATTGAGATGTCGGCGGATACCGGACGTCTCCTCGAAGTAGGAACGCCGGTAGGACCAGGGACCAATGACGAGCGAAGAGTATGGATTGCCTCCACCAAAAAAAAAAAAAAAAAAAATGGGGAGAAGAGGAGAGGAGCTCCTATGTAGAAGGGAATCTTGCCCGGGTGTGCCAGATCTTCTCCAACCGCCGAAGACGAACGCCTCTCGGTGTAGAGGTTAGTAGAGACGCGGAGGGGGCTAGACGAACCAAGGGAGCCTGCCAAGATAAACCTGTTTATCCCACAAATGACCATGGATCGATGGACGTGGGATAACAAAGACGGGAACCCGTGAGGGTAGACCAGTTCGTCCCTGCGAGTTCCTTGGGTACCGAACGTCCTCTTCGAAGCAAGAGACGTCGGTAAGGCTAAAAGGACCACGGACGAACGAAAAAAGGGGGGAATCTCGATGTAGATAAACCTGTTCCTCCTTGCGATGTCGGCGGACACCGAACGTCTCCTCGAAGTAGGGACGCCGGTAGGACCAGGGACCAAGGACGAACGAAGACTAAAAGACTCCAAAAAAAAAAAAAAAAAAAAAAAAAAAAAAGAAGAAAGATGCCAGAAGAGCACGGAGCAAAGAATGATTTTATCCCTCGGCGCTATTGGCCGGGAAGTACCAACTAGAAAACATATGTAAAGAATAATTACAAAACTTAAGTACGAAGAATGAAGTGGCCGACGACGATCGGCTAACATCAGGTTTTCTTTTGCCTCGAACGACGATTAGCCCCCCGGATCAGGTAGAAGGGACATCGCCCAGTTTTATTTCAGGCTCACCATCCCTTCCCGGATGGAGTCCTGGCAGACGATCGGCTTCTCACAGCCAATCAGGATAGAGACTTGACACATCACCAGCACGGCCGATGGCCGCGAGACGATTACCACTCACGATTTATCACTATTTTTATGCATCACGATCGGCCCCTCAGCGCCATCGTGTCCAGATCTCACGGTTCGGCTCGCCCATTCCCTCCAGGATGGCGACGACCGTCTTATGCAGCACGATCGGCTTCTCAGCGCCATCGTGTCTCTTTCACGTTCGGATCGCCCCCATTCCCTCCAGGATGGCGACGAACGTCTTATGCAGTGCGATCGGCCCCTCAGCGCCATCGTACCTGGCTTCACGGTTCGGCTCGCCCATCCCTTCCAGGGTGGCGACGAACGTCTTATGCGGCACGATCGGCTTCTCAGCGTCATCGTGTCTCTTTCACGTTCGGATCGCCCCATTCCCTCCAGGATGGCGACGAACGTCTTATGCAGTGCGATCGGCCCCTCAGCGCCATCGTACCTGGCTTCACGGTTCGGCTCGCCCTTTCCCTCCAGGATGGCGACGACCGTCTTGTGTAGCACGATCGGCTTCTCAGCACCATCGTGTCTCTTTCACGTTCGGATCGCCCCATTCCCTCCAGGATGGCGACGAACGTCTTATGCAGTGCGATCGGCCCCTCAGCGCCATCGTACCTGGCTTCACGGTTCGGCTCGCCCGTTCCCTCCAGGATGGCGACGACCGTCTTGTGTAGCACGATCGGCTTCTCAGCACCATCGTGTCTCTTTCACGTTCGGATCGCCCCATTCCCTCCAGGATGGCGACGAACGTCTTATGCAGTGCGATCGGTCCCTCAGCGCCATCGTAGCTGGCTTCACGGTTCGGCTCGCCCATTCCCTCCAGGATGGCGACGACCGTCTTGTGTAGCACGATCGGCTTCTCAGCACCATCGTGTCTCTTTCACGTTCGGATCGCCCCATTCCCTCCAGGATGGCGACGAACGTCTTATGCAGTGCGATCGGCCCCTTAGCGCCATCGTACCTGGCTTCACGGTTCGGCTCGCCCATCCCTTCCAGGGTGGCGACGAACGTCTTATGCGGCACGATCGGCTTCTCAGCGTCATCGTGTCTCTTTCACGTTCGGATCGCCCCATTCCCTCCAGGATGGCGACGAACGTCTTATGCAGTGCGATCGGCCCCTCAGCGCCATCGTACCTGGCTTCACGGTTCGGCTCGCCCTTTCCCTCCAGGATGGCGACGACCGTCTTGTGTAGCACGATCGGCTTCTCAGCACCATCGTGTCTCTTTCACGTTCGGATCGCCCCATTCCCTCCAGGATGGCGACGAACGTCTTATGCAGTGCGATCGGCCCCTCAGCGCCATCGTACCTGGCTTCACGGTTCGGCTCGCCCGTTCCCTCCAGGATGGCGACGACCGTCTTGTGTAGCACGATCGGCTTCTCAGCACCATCGTGTCTCTTTCACGTTCGGATCGCCCCATTCCCTCCAGGATGGCGACGAACGTCTTATGCAGTGCGATCGGTCCCTCAGCGCCATCGTAGCTGGCTTCACGGTTCGGCTCGCCCATTCCCTCCAGGATGGCGACGACCGTCTTGTGTAGCACGATCGGCTTCTCAGCACCATCGTGTCTCTTTCACGTTCGGATCGCCCCATTCCCTCCAGGATGGCGACGAACGTCTTATGCAGTGCGATCGGCCCCTTAGCGCCATCGTACCTGGCTTCACGGTTCGGCTCGCCCATCCCTTCCAGGGTGGCGACGACCGTCTTGTGCGGCACGATCGGCTTCTCAGCGTCATCGTGTCTCTTTCACGTTCGGATCGCCCCATTCCCTCCAGGATGGCGACGAACGTCTTATGCAGTGCGATCGGCCCCTCAGCGCCATCGTACCTGGCTTCACGGTTCGGCTCGCCCTTTCCCTCCAGGATGGCGACGACCGTCTTGTGTAGCACGATCGGCTTCTCAGCACCATCGTGTCTCTTTCACGTTCGGATCGCCCCATTCCCTCCAGGATGGCGACGAACGTCTTATGCAGTGCGATCGGCCCCTCAGCGCCATCGTACCTGGCTTCACGGTTCGGCTCGCCCGTTCCCTCCAGGATGGCGACGACCGTCTTGTGTAGCACGATCGGCTTCTCAGCACCATCGTGTCTCTTTCACGTTCGGATCGCCCCATTCCCTCCAGGATGGCGACGAACGTCTTATGCAGTGCGATCGGTCCCTCAGCGCCATCGTAGCTGGCTTCACGGTTCGGCTCGCCCATTCCCTCCAGGATGGCGACGACCGTCTTGTGTAGCACGATCGGCTTCTCAGCACCATCGTGTCTCTTTCACGTTCGGATCGCCCCATTCCCTCCAGGATGGCGACGAACGTCTTATGCAGTGCGATCGGCCCCTTAGCGCCATCGTACCTGGCTTCACGGTTCGGCTCGCCCATTCCCTCCAGGATGGCGACGACCGTCTTGTGTAGCACGATCGGCTTCTCAGCACCATCGTGTCTCTTTCACGTTCGAATCGCCCCATTCCCTCCAGGATGGCGACGAACGTCTTATGCAGGGCGATCGGCCCCTCAGCGCCATCGTACCTGGCTTCACGGTTCGGCTCGCCCATCCCTTCCAGGGTGGCGACGAACGTCTTATGCGGCACGATCGGCTTCTCAGCGTCATCGTGTCTCTTTCACGTTCGGATCGCCCCATTCCCTCCAGGATGGCGACGAACGTCTTATGCAGTGCGATCGGCCCCTCAGCGCCATCGTACCTTGGCTTCACGGTTCGGCTCGCCTCATTCCCTCCAGGATGGCGACGACCGTCTTGTGTAGCACGATCGGCTTCTCAGCACCATCGTGTCTCTTTCACGTTCGGATCGCCCCATTCCCTCCAGGATGGCGACGAACGTCTTATGCAGTGCGATCGGTCCCTCAGCGCCATCGTAGCTGGCTTCACGGTTCGGCTCGCCCATTCCCTCCAGGATGGCGACGACCGTCTTGTGTAGCACGATCGGCTTCTCAGCACCATCGTGTCTCTTTCACGTTCGGATCGCCCCATTCCCTCCAGGATGGCGACGAACGTCTTATGCAGTGCGATCGGCCCCTCAGCGCCATCGTACCTTGGCTTCACGGTTCGGCTCGCCCATTCCCTCCAGGATGGCGACGACCGTCTTATACAGCACGATCGGCTTCTCAGCGCCATCGTGTCTCTTTCACGTTCGGATCGCCTCATTCCCTCCAGGATGGCGACGAACGTCTTATACAGTGCGATCGGCCCCTCAGCGCCATCGTACCTGATTTCACGGTTCGGCTCGCCCATTCCTTCCAGGATGGCGACGAACGTCTTATGCAGTGCGATCGGCCCCTCAGCGCCATCGTACCTGATTTCACGGTTCGGCTCGCCCATTCCTTCCAGGATGGCGACGACCGTCTTATACAGCACGATCGGCTTCTCAGCGCCATCGTGTCTCTTTCACGTTCGGATCGCCCCATTCCCTCCAGGATGGCGACGAACGTCTTATGCAGTGCGATCGGCCCCTCAGCGCCATCGTACCTGGCTTCACGGTTCGGCTCGCCCGTTCCCTCCAGGATGGCGACGACCGTCTTGTGTAGCACGATCGGCTTCTCAGCACCATCGTGTCTCTTTCACGTTCGGATCGCCCCATTCCCTCCAGGATGGCGACGAACGTCTTATGCAGTGCGATCGGCCCCTTAGCGCCATCGTACCTGGCTTCACGGTTCGGCTCGCCCATTCCCTCCAGGATGGCGACGACCGTCTTGTGTAGCACGATCGGCTTCTCAGCACCATCGTGTCTCTTTCACGTTCGAATCGCCCCATTCCCTCCAGGATGGCGACGAACGTCTTATGCAGGGCGATCGGCCCCTCAGCGCCATCGTACCTGGCTTCACGGTTCGGCTCGCCCATCCCTTCCAGGGTGGCGACGAACGTCTTATGCGGCACGATCGGCTTCTCAGCGTCATCGTGTCTCTTTCACGTTCGGATCGCCCCATTCCCTCCAGGATGGCGACGAACGTCTTATGCAGTGCGATCGGCCCCTCAGCGCCATCGTACCTTGGCTTCACGGTTCGGCTCGCCCATTCCCTCCAGGATGGCGACGACCGTCTTATACAGCACGATCGGCTTCTCAGCGCCATCGTGTCTCTTTCACGTTCGGATCGCCTCATTCCCTCCAGGATGGCGACGAACGTCTTATACAGTGCGATCGGCCCCTCAGCGCCATCGTACCTGATTTCACGGTTCGGCTCGCCCATTCCTTCCAGGATGGCGACGAACGTCTTATGCAGTGCGATCGGCCCCTCAGCGCCATCGTACCTGATTTCACGGTTCGGCTCGCCCATTCCTTCCAGGATGGCGACGACCGTCTTATACAGCACGATCGGCTTCTCAGCGCCATCGTGTCTCTTTCACGTTCGGATCGCCTCATTCCCTCCAGGATGGCGACGAACGTCTTATGCAGTACGATCGGCCCCTCGGCGCCATCGTACCTGATTTCACGGTTCGGCTCGCCCATCCCCTCCAGGATGGCAACGACCGTCTTATGCAGTACGATCGGCCCCTCAGCGCCATCGTACCCAGCTCACGATCAGCGCCCCAGCGCCATCGTGTCTGGCTCACGTTAGGGTCGCCCATCTCTTTCGGATGGCGACGAACGTCTCTTATGCAGCACGATCAGCGCCCCAGCGCCATCGTGTCTGGCTCACGTTAGGGTCGCCCATCTCTTTCGGAT